AGATTATTCGTAGTGGAGATGTTGTCACGCCCCGGACCTACCGGACACGTCAACAACCCGCCGTACAGTACGAATAGTCAACCGCAGTCCAACTCATCCATACTATACTAGGCGTCTTGAATACCATTCACACATAGTACATCCATAAACAAACATAATGTAAAATATTCCTTTAAAGCAGCGGAAACATTAATACACGTATTCAAGCCACACGTGGCAAACATGGGCATACAAGCCCCCAAATAGTATTCAAAATAATTTCCATGAGCATTATTGAAATTGTTTAAAACAGAAACGGAAGAAGCACGAACCACGTCCTCCTCCTTTGATCTTCCCGAAACAACGGGCGTGGTAGCAACCTTCAAGTCCTACCTGAAACTGTGAGGTGGCCTCCCCCGTGAAGGGGAGGTCAGTACTTGGAAGCATTTGACAAGTACAATGACAACTATACTAAGTATAATCAACGTTTCAATTTCCAAGACCCTCAAATAGGGTGATATTACAATATAGGTCATAACTCGTGGTTACCCTCTTTACAAATATACTTACTTTATATATAAAGTCAAGTAATCGGCCGAAGGCTCATGTTTACTTTGAAGGCATTTAACCTTTCCCCCGTGACTTCAAGCCACACCCATCTATATCAGTTTACCATGCTAGAGGCTTCCTCTAGTCATGTTTTGTCGTGCTAGAGGCTGACTCTAGTCACTACATTCGGTGTTAGAGGCTTCCTCTAATCACCTTACATACTTTGTGCTGGAGGCTTCCTCCAGTCACATTACATTATGCTAGAGGCTTCCTCTAGTCATCTTACACTACGCTAGAGGCTTCCTCTAGTCGTCCTACACGAATGCTGGAGGCTTCCTCCAGTCATTCCTCATCGTGCTAGAGGCTTCCTCTAGTCGCGATACTACTCACTAAGCAAATTCTATGCCTAGGTTTTCTCTATCTTGAGTAGCCTATGAGGCCTACTCCTAATGTAATTTAGCGGTTACCCATTCCTACCTTAAGACATCTCATAAGATTACTTAAGGTGCATCCTTCACAATCCAAGCCCTTAGGATTTGTTCTATCACTTTTTACACTAACATTCCCGACTAGTGAATTCAATACTAATCCATTAGTCTTTAAACAACCAAGATCTTTAATTCATTGTTATAAGGCTCATTCCTACGGATTTTCCACTCCGTGTATGATTTAATCTCAATGTAAAAATATCACTTTTATCCATTCATGATTTCTATACATGAAGTAAAAGTATATTTTATCACATAAATTCATGGTTTGTACAATCATTATACCATCATATTTGTAACGCATCATCATACACAATTTTCTCGTAAACTTGTATGTTATGCATCTTCTATTCACAAACAATAATATTTCCATTTAGGCATTACTAATCATTAATAACCTATGAAAATCACATTTAATTACTTTAGGTAATCTTATGAAATTAACCCAAAGATTATAAACAATATAGTCGGTCATCCTCACCTCAAATGAGCTTTAAAACTTTCCTTCTCGATCCAATGACCAAAGCCTCGGCCAAGAAAGATTGAGGACTGATTCCTTGCTTGGAATTGAGTGTTAAACAGCCTCTTCAAAGTGCTAGTTCAACTCCTAACCGAAGACACAAAAACAGTCCCTAGAACGGGTGTTTCCCGACGAAATCGTTCCCTAACCTTTCAAGGTTTTGTCTAGATTAGTATCTAACTTTTCCAACAATTAAAGTCACTTTATAATAACATTTTATACACTTCAATCAGTGTATAATAGTTCTTCAATCATTTATATGGTTTAGACAATAGAGAGGAAGGTTTTGGATTCAAACTTACTTTGAATACAAAAACGTATTCCGCGAGGTTGTGTTTTGCTCGGACGATTTGAAAGCCTTCCACTACTCCGATTGATGCAAACCAGACCTTCACGGATTCCTCGTCTTGAGAGCTTTCTGTGGGTATCTCGCACGCCTTATTTGGATGTGTATAACTCGAGATATGAAGCAAACAAGTAACCTTACGCACTGGAAAACGAACCTGCGGCAGCTTCCCCTTCCTCTTGCTTTCTTGGTTGTGTGGCTCTCTCTTTCTCCCTTATCCTTGGGAGTTCGAATGAGGGGCTTAAGGGAGTGTCCAAGACCCTTCAATAAGGGTGGATAAGTTGTGTGGAGTGAAATGAATTGGTATGGTCTCCATGAGATGTTTTTAGACATGGGTGGGTCTCACTTTTGATCTCTTTGTCATAAGATGTCTCTTTGTACTCATTCTAATTTATTTGGAACAAGTCAACTCTCTACATCATATTATTGATCTCCAATATGTGTATGATCATCCCAATAATTTACATGATGAATATTATAGAAGAAAAACCCTACTCCCATTATTTAGCTCAATAATGCCAAAGATGGGGTTATAGGCATTTGTATTCTTCTCAAATCATCCTATCACTTATTTTGACATTTGCCATTCATATTATTAGACTACAAGCCGTGTGGGTCGCCCCCGAGTGGGCCTACGACGCCATTGTCGAATACTTGCTATTCTAGCGGGTTGAGCCCAAAATAATATCTGGGCCGCCCGCCCTTCCTCAACTTGTCTTGAAACGTTATGTATTAATATTTAGATAATGTTAGGCTCTTTTATTTATTAATAAGGCCCGATACTTATATACGAGTTCGAACAGTACAATAATCGATCATTAATTACGTAAAACATTAATCGTTTTACAATCGTTTGGGAATCAGAAATCCAATACATAAACTTTGAATTTTAAAATCAAGTTTTCAAGGACGTTCGGGTGCGGTGTCACAAGTTCACCCCCCCTTAACAGGAATTTCGTCCCCGAAATTCACAGCTCTACTCGAATAGGAAAGCATACTGCTTCCTCATCAAAGCCTCTGTTTCCCATGTCTCCCCTTCGACCTGATCGCTCTTCCAAAGTACTTTAACCATTTGGGACCTCTTTGCTCCTCAGTTTCTTCACTTTTCTATTGGTGACCTTGATTGGTTGCACAGCGTAGTTCCCCTCCATGCCCTCAAACTAGTCGACAATGCCCCAGACAACTCTTCCGACTGAGGGCATCTGCTACAACGTTTGCCTTACCTGGATGGTACTCAATAACTAGATGGTAGTCCTTTATCAACTCCATCCACCCTCTCTGTCTCATGTTTTAACTCCTTCTGAGTAAACACGTACTTCAAGCTCTTATGATCAGTATATATGTGACATGTCTCTCCGTAGAGACAATGTCTCCAAATTTTCAGTGCAAACACCACTGCTCCCAGCTCTAGATCATGGGTAGGGTAATCCACCTCATGCTTCTTCAACTCTCGTGAAGCATAGGCATTTACCCTCCCCTCTTGCATCAACACCCATCCAAGCCCTTGGATGTTCGCGTCACTATAGACATCGTACCCCATACCCTGTTTGGGTAATGCAAGTACCGGTGCCTCGATCAATCTTTTCTTTAGTTCAATGAACCCTTTCTCACATTTGTCATCCCATACAAACTTGGCTCCTTTACGAGTGAGCTTTGTCAATGGTGATGCCAAAACGGGGAATTTCTACACGAACTTCCTGTAGTAGCCTGCTAACCCAAGGAAACCACGAATTTCCTTGACGTTCTTTGGTCTCTCCCATTCGGTAATGGCCCCTATCTTCGTATTATCAACAGCAATTCCCGATCCCGAAACCACATGCCCGAGAAAGCCAATTTCCTTTAGCCAAAATTCACCTTTAGAAAATTTGGCATAAAGTTGCTTCTCCCGTAGCGTCTCAAGAACGAGTATCAAGTGCTCTTCATGCTCTTCCTTACTCTTTGAGTAAATCAAAATGTCATCTATGAACACAATCACGAATCGATCCAAGTATTTATGGAATACTCGGTTCATCAAGTTCATGAATGCTGCTGGGGCGTTTGTTAACCCAAACGACATAACAAGGAACTCAAAATGCCCATACCTTGTGCGGAAAGCACTCTTTGGTATGTCATCTTCCTTAACCTTCGATTGATGGTACCCTGACCTCAAGTCAATCTTTGAAAACACAGTTGCTCCTCGTAGTTGATCAAACAAGTCATCGATCCTAGGCAAAGGATACCTATTCTTGATTGTGACCTTGTTGAGTTGACGATAGTCAATGCACATTCGAAGTGTCCCATCTTTCTTTTTCACAAAAAGAATCGGTGCTCCCCACGGGGAGTGGCTTGGTCTAATGAAGCCATTATCCAAAAGCTCTTGCAATTGGGTTTTCAACTCGTTAAGTTCAGCGGGTGCCATACGGTATTGCGGTATGGAGATTGGTTTGGTGTCGGGCTCGACCTTGATCACAAATTCAATCTCCCTATCAGGTGGAAGCCCCGGCAGGCCCTTTGGGAAGACATTCGGGTACTTACAAACCACCCTCACGTCGTCGATGTTCGTTTCCTCCTTGGTCTTGTCAACCACGTATGCTAGATAAGTGTGGCATCCCTTTCTCATCATACTTCTCGCCCTCGCAGCGGATATGATACAGCTGTTTGATTTGCCTCGGTCCCCCTCGAAGCGTAGGGTATCCCCATCATTGCCTTCGAGTCCCAAGACCTTTGTGTAGCAATCTACCCTAGCATGATGCTTTTCTAGCCAATCCATCCCTAGGATTGCATCGAACTCCATCCTACTCAGCGGTACGAAATCACACGTCAAGGGTTGACCCGTCACTTCCACCTCACATGATGGATAGTAATGATTTCTCTCCACATCGTCTCCTAACAGTGTGGAGACTAGCAACGTTTGCATCATAGGTGTCAATGGCACGTCATGGCCCTCGGCGAACGCCTCACTCACAAATGAGCGTTGTGCCCCGGTATCGATGAGGATCCTCACATACCTACCATTGATCTTTAATGTTCCTACATTTATACACCATGTGGGATACCTTTTCTAATGTTTTTACACATAATTAGGAGGTTATTAGGTTCATACTAATGTTTGGAATCAATCGGGGGTTCAAACGTAGAAGAACGGAGCGAAAAAATGAGTTTTCGGTTGCCGGGGGTCCACGCACGGCGTGCCTGGGTGGCACGCACGTCCGTGCGTGCACAGGATTCTCCCTGCCAGCCACTGCCTCCCAGGCACGGTGCCAGGCACGGCGTGCCTGCGGCCGTGCCTGGCCAAATTTTCTTCGGGGCGCCACTGCCTTCCAGGCACGACGCCAGGCACGGCGTGCCTGCGGCCGTGCCTGGCCCAAAATTTTTTTTTTTTTTTTTTCTACTTTTCTTCGGGTGCCACTGCCTTCCAGGCACGATGCCAGGCACGGCGTGCCTGCGGGCGTGCCTGGCCAGCAGTGGCTGTTTCCAGCCCGATTAGGCCTAACTCACCCGGTTTGACCCCGGGGTGGCCCGTACTCAATCCCAACGACGTATATGATCAAAGTAAGCCTAGAAATGACCAGAATAAGTGTATTACCTGCGACGGAGTCGGGATTAGCCCGAGCATCGACCTCGGTCATTGCGTACACTCTCGCTTGAGTCCTTCCTTGGTTCACGGAGGGTGCGTTGCTTGTACTTGCCCCGCCGTGGTTCGTGCTTGCATTGGGTGCCCCACCCCGGTTTCTACTCACCGTGGTTGCCACGTTTGGTCCTGATGACCGGTTCCCACCAAGTTGAGGGCAATTAGGCCTTATGTGCCCCGTATCTCCGCATTGGTAGCACCGTGGGGGATCACGACATTTGCCCTCGTGATTTCTCTTGCAATTCCTGCACTTAGGCTTCGTCGAGGCTTGTAACCCCGAGTTTTGCCCACCCATGTTGGGATTCCCCCTTGATGGTGGTGCGGGTGCCCTGAAGGATCCTCCTCCCCCGTGATTCATCTTCTTGTTTGAACCTTGGGGGCCATGGTTCTCCCATTTTCTTTTCTTTGCCTCCTCGGCATTTCTTCGCTTCCTCTCTTCCCACTCCTTCTCTCCCTTTAAACCTTGTTCCACCACTTGACTAAATGTCATATTAGGCAATTGTGTTGCCCTCTCACGTATGTCAAGGTCCAAGGCATCCCAGAAATGGTTCACCATCCGATTTTCATCACAAATGTACTCCGGTATGAACTCAGCAAGCTTTCTGAACTTGTGTTCAAGTTCCTTCACCGTGCATTCCCCTCCTTGGGTCAAATTCGTGTACTCCCTCCTCTTCAAGTTCACCTCGAAGTCGGAGTAGTATTGGCTAAAGAATTCTTGCCTGAAGTTCTCCCAAGTGACCGCCTCACCGTACTTCCCTTTGACACCGTCCCACCACGTGGACGCCATTCCTTCTAGCAATCTTGTTGCCACTCTCATCTTCATATGGGGTGGCAGCTGCATATCAAGGGCCGCTTCATTGAATCTCTTGATCCACTCGGCCGCCACGGAGATGTCTCCCGTTCCATCAAACGGTTTACATCCCAAGTCTCTTGCCTCCTTTAGGTACTTTGAGATCCTTATGATAGGAACCTCGGCACCTCGACCTCCTCGGAGTTCAATGCTCTCCCTAGGAGTCGCGCGGCTTCCTCTCCTCGAAGCCCCTTCCAAAGCACGCCTTGCCCGGCGCCTTTGGCGATCTTGTTGGTATTGCCGGAGCAATTCCTCAATCCGTTCAAGAGCGTCATTATCATCACTCTCATCACTAGCATCATCGTGTTCCCCATCATATGGGGTGTCAACCGGCTCAGTTCCCGGTTGGTAAGTTGAATCCTCCTCGGACTCATAGTGCTCATCTATTGTTTCCACGTGACCGTCACTCACGGTCAGCGAGTGGCTTGCTCGGCCCTGTCCCCCAGACTCTCTTGATCCCCCCTGACTGCCACGTTGGGATCCTCCCAGCACCTGGCCAGTCGGGTTCCGTCGAGTCACTCTACCGGTGCGTTCCATTTCTGAAAGAAGTTTAGAATGAGCCATTAGGCTCGTATCAAGTGTCAAGTGACGGATAGGTACTTAAAGACACCTTTCGGCTCAAATCACCGTCATACCAATTGTTAAGGGTACCATCTTAACAATTAGAGACTTTGCAACTCAAGTACCAAAAGTTCTATAAGTACAAAACTTTTATGCTCATGGTTTTCAAATTCGTTTTTCAAAAAGAGATTTTGAAGCTTCATTATGAAGTTTACGGACTAAGGCTCTGATACCAATTAAATTGTCACGCCCCGGACCTACCGGACACGTCAACAACCCGCCGTACAGTACGAATAGTCAACCGCAGTCCAACTCATCCATACTATACTAGGCGTCTTGAATACCATTCACACATAGTACATCCATAAACAAACATAATGTAAAATATTCCTTTAAAGCAGCGGAAACATTAATACACGTATTCAAGCCACACGTGGCAAACATGGGCATACAAGCCCCCAAATAGTATTCAAAATAATTTCCATGAGCATTATTGAAATTGTTTAAAACAGAAACGGAAGAAGCACGAACCACGTCCTCCTCCTTTGATCTTCCCGAAACAACGGGCGTGGTAGCAACCTTCAAGTCCTACCTGAAACTGTGAGGTGGCCTCCCCCGTGAAGGGGAGGTCAGTACTTGGAAGCATTTGACAAGTACAATGACAACTATACTAAGTATAATCAACGTTTCAATTTCCAAGACCCTCAAATAGGGTGATATTACAATATAGGTCATAACTCGTGGTTACCCTCTTTACAAATATACTTACTTTATATATAAAGTCAAGTAATCGGCCGAAGGCTCATGTTTACTTTGAAGGCATTTAACCTTTCCCCCGTGACTTCAAGCCACACCCATCTATATCAGTTTACCATGCTAGAGGCTTCCTCTAGTCATGTTTTGTCGTGCTAGAGGCTGACTCTAGTCACTACATTCGGTGTTAGAGGCTTCCTCTAATCACCTTACATACTTTGTGCTGGAGGCTTCCTCCAGTCACATTACATTATGCTAGAGGCTTCCTCTAGTCATCTTACACTACGCTAGAGGCTTCCTCTAGTCGTCCTACACGAATGCTGGAGGCTTCCTCCAGTCATTCCTCATCGTGCTAGAGGCTTCCTCTAGTCGCGATACTACTCACTAAGCAAATTCTATGCCTAGGTTTTCTCTATCTTGAGTAGCCTATGAGGCCTACTCCTAATGTAATTTAGCGGTTACCCATTCCTACCTTAAGACATCTCATAAGATTACTTAAGGTGCATCCTTCACAATCCAAGCCCTTAGGATTTGTTCTATCACTTTTTACACTAACATTCCCGACTAGTGAATTCAATACTAATCCATTAGTCTTTAAACAACCAAGATCTTTAATTCATTGTTATAAGGCTCATTCCTACGGATTTTCCACTCCGTGTATGATTTAATCTCAATGTAAAAATATCACTTTTATCCATTCATGATTTCTATACATGAAGTAAAAGTATATTTTATCACATAAATTCATGGTTTGTACAATCATTATACCATCATATTTGTAACGCATCATCATACACAATTTTCTCGTAAACTTGTATGTTATGCATCTTCTATTCACAAACAATAATATTTCCATTTAGGCATTACTAATCATTAATAACCTATGAAAATCACATTTAATTACTTTAGGTAATCTTATGAAATTAACCCAAAGATTATAAACAATATAGTCGGTCATCCTCACCTCAAATGAGCTTTAAAACTTTCCTTCTCGATCCAATGACCAAAGCCTCGGCCAAGAAAGATTGAGGACTGATTCCTTGCTTGGAATTGAGTGTTAAACAGCCTCTTCAAAGTGCTAGTTCAACTCCTAACCGAAGACACAAAAACAGTCCCTAGAACGGGTGTTTCCCGACGAAATCGTTCCCTAACCTTTCAAGGTTTTGTCTAGATTAGTATCTAACTTTTCCAACAATTAAAGTCACTTTATAATAACATTTTATACACTTCAATCAGTGTATAATAGTTCTTCAATCATTTATATGGTTTAGACAATAGAGAGGAAGGTTTTGGATTCAAACTTACTTTGAATACAAAAACGTATTCCGCGAGGTTGTGTTTTGCTCGGACGATTTGAAAGCCTTCCACTACTCCGATTGATGCAAACCAGACCTTCACGGATTCCTCGTCTTGAGAGCTTTCTGTGGGTATCTCGCACGCCTTATTTGGATGTGTATAACTCGAGATATGAAGCAAACAAGTAACCTTACGCACTGGAAAACGAACCTGCGGCAGCTTCCCCTTCCTCTTGCTTTCTTGGTTGTGTGGCTCTCTCTTTCTCCCTTATCCTTGGGAGTTCGAATGAGGGGCTTAAGGGAGTGTCCAAGACCCTTCAATAAGGGTGGATAAGTTGTGTGGAGTGAAATGAATTGGTATGGTCTCCATGAGATGTTTTTAGACATGGGTGGGTCTCACTTTTGATCTCTTTGTCATAAGATGTCTCTTTGTACTCATTCTAATTTATTTGGAACAAGTCAACTCTCTACATCATATTATTGATCTCCAATATGTGTATGATCATCCCAATAATTTACATGATGAATATTATAGAAGAAAAACCCTACTCCCATTATTTAGCTCAATAATGCCAAAGATGGGGTTATAGGCATTTGTATTCTTCTCAAATCATCCTATCACTTATTTTGACATTTGCCATTCATATTATTAGACTACAAGCCGTGTGGGTCGCCCCCGAGTGGGCCTACGACGCCATTGTCGAATACTTGCTATTCTAGCGGGTTGAGCCCAAAATAATATCTGGGCCGCCCGCCCTTCCTCAACTTGTCTTGAAACGTTATGTATTAATATTTAGATAATGTTAGGCTCTTTTATTTATTAATAAGGCCCGATACTTATATACGAGTTCGAACAGTACAATAATCGATCATTAATTACGTAAAACATTAATCGTTTTACAATCGTTTGGGAATCAGAAATCCAATACATAAACTTTGAATTTTAAAATCAAGTTTTCAAGGACGTTCGGGTGCGGTGTCACAGATGTGGTGTTCAACGAGCAGGTTTTGTACAAGGACAGATTGAGCGCATATGATTCTGAGCAAGAAAGTCCGAAGATCATAGAGCTGGATATCTCTAATTCGGGTGGGAGCCAGCAGGATCAGAATGAAGAGATGAGCAGTGATGAGGATCCATCAACTCTACCAAGGCAGCGGCCTGCTAGGAACTGAAGAGCACCAAATAGGTATTCACCTTCTAATTTCTATTTGTTGCTTACTGACGGTGGTGAACCGGAGTCCTATGCAGAGGCAATTCGGGTTGATGACAAGGGCAAGTGGACACTTGCAATGGATGATGAGATGGCATCTATCACATCCAATGATACTTGGAGGTTAGTTGAACTACCGAGAGGAAAGAAGGCTTTGCACTGCAAGTGGGTCTACCGCATCAAGAAGGAGGCAGATGGTAGCAAACGCTAAAAAGCTAGGCTGGTTGTGAAGGGGTTTGAGCAGCGCTATGGTATTGATTATACCGACATATTCTCTCCAGTTGTGAAACTAACTACTATTCGGTTGGTGTTGGGGTTAGTTGCTGCAGAAAATTTGTTGTTACATCAGATGGATGTGAAGACTGCATTCCTTCATGGTGATCTGAATGACGAGATTTACATGGCGCAACCAGAGGGCTATGTGGCAGAGGGCAGTGAGAATCTCGTATGCAAGCTAGTGAAGAGCTTATACGGGTTGAAGCAGGCACCGAAGCAGTGGTACAAGAAATTTGATGGTTTCATGCGGAAAATCAGTTTCTTGAGATGTCACACCGACAATTGCTGCTACTACAAGAAGACTGAGAACTGTTATCTTATCTTGCTATTATATGTAGATGACATGTTGATTGCAGGAGCTAGTTCAAAGGAGTTTGAGAAGCTAAAGAAACAGTTGTCAGAACGTTTTTCCATGAAGGATCTTGGAGAGGCAAAGCAGATTTTGGGCATGCGAATCGAGAGGGATGAGGCAGCGGGCAGATTGTTTCTTTCACAGGCAGAATACATTCAGAAGGTCTTAGAAAGATTCAGAATGCAAGATGTTAAGGCTACAAGTGTTCCATTGGGTAGTCACTTCAAGCTTAGCAAGGAAGATTCTCCAAAGAACAAAGAGGACCGTGCTCAAATGCAGAAGATTCCATACGCATCGGCAATTGGTAGCATCATGTACGCTATGGTTTGCACGAGGCTATACATTGCACATGCAGTGGGAGTAGTGAGCAGATATATGGGAGACCCCGAGAAAGAACACTGGGAAGCTGTGAAGTGGAATCATGAGGTATTTGAAAGGTACTGCGTCTAATGTTTTGTGTTTTAATGTGAAGAATGTGGAGCTGCTGGGACATGTTGATGCATACCTGGCATCGAATGACTCGGATGGATCGAGGAGCACCACCGGGTATGTTTTTACATTTGGTGGAATGGCAGTTTCCTGGCTTTCACAGCTGCAAAAGATTATTGCATTATCTACCACTGAGGCTGAATATGTGGCCATTACGGAGGCAAGTAAGGAGATGGTGTGGCTTCAAAATTTACTTGGGGAACTTGGGAAGGAGTACAAGAATTGTGTGTAAAGAATTTATGTGGCTTCATTCTTTACAGTGACAGCCAAAGTGCTATCTTCTTGGAAAACAACTCAGCTTTTCACAAGAGAACCAAACACATTCGGTTGAAGTATCACTACATCCGTCATCTTCTAGAGATAGAGGCATTGCAGCTTGTGAAGATCCGTGGGAGTGAGAATCCAGCAGACATGTTTACTAAGGTGGTAACCTTGGAGAAATTGAAGCTTTGCATATCTTCAATTGGCCTGGGTACTTGAAGATGAAGGCCGGCGCTACCATGCTTACAAGGGATATTAGAAGAAGACAGTCTCAAGGTGGGAGATTGTAAGGTGTTAGAAACTGTTTCTTAATTTATTTTTGGAAACACGTTTCTTAATTTATTTTAGGAAACGCATCCTAGTTGCCTTGGGGTTAGGATTTAGTTCTCTATAAATACAAGCTCTCTCCCTTGTAATCATTGTGTGTAGATCCAGAAAATATTAATAACATTCCTGGCTTGGTAGCGCCCCCAGACGTAGTCCTCTGTGGCGAACTGGGTTACCAAATTTCGCGTGTTCTTCATTATTGTTCTTCGTGTTTGTGAGTTAAATTCCTAACAAAGGATCCACACAACCCAAGAGAGAAAGAAGGAAGAGAGCAGTCCGCAGGTTCATTCTTCAGTGCGTAGTACTGATTGTTTGAGCCATAACTTGAGATGCACTCGTCCAATTAAGGCTTATAAGATACCAAAAGAAAGCTCTCAAGATGAGGAATCCGTGAAGGTCTGGTTTGCATCAATCGGAGTAGGGGAAGGCTTCCAAATCGTCAGAGCAAAACACAACCTCGCAGAAACGGATTTACTCTCCTAAAGTGAGTGTTAACCCCAAAACCTTACTTTTCATTTTCCAAATGATATGAACGATTGGTGGAACTATTATAAACTACTCCAAGTGTATAATATGTCCTCATAAGGGTATTTTATTGATGTAAAGGTTAGTTACTAACCTAGAGCAAATCATGGAAAAACTAGGAAACGAGTTCGCCGGAAAACACCCGTTCTAGGGGCTGTTTTCGTATCAACGGATAGGGGTTGAGCTATCACTTTGAGGATGCTGTTTAACACTCATTTTTAAGTAAGGAATCAGTTCCTAATCCACCTTGACCAAAGCTTTGACCATTGGATCAAGAGGGGAAAGTTTAAAGCTCAATTAAGGTGAGGATTGACATCTAATTGCTTACAACTTGTAGGTTAAGCATGAGATTACCTGAATGCCTAAATCATAATTTTTCATGGATTATGATGATTAAATATTGATGAAATATTGATATAGTTTCCAAAGAATGCAATTGGAAGTGATTTGAGGTTATATGAATAATAAGAGATTAAATGAGTTATAAATGAACTATTTTGTGAAATAGGCATTTTACTCATGTATGAAATATGAGGATACATAAATGAATATTTATGTATTGATATTGAATATTTAAGTTTCTGCTACATAATATAAATATGTAGGGAATTAAAAAATGAGAATACTTGTATGATAACAATAATCTTAATAGTGTTGAAATACTAGTTAGTGGTTATTGGAAATTGTTGTTGGAATTGATTCTAGGGATTGGATTGTATGAAATGCACTTGAATACACTTCAAGTGTATATAATGACTTAGTATGAAACTAAGGTTAAGTTATGGGAAGTCTTTAAGGATGACCCATGGTAGTTTATTGATATGTCAATTCTAGGCATAGGTTTGCTTAAGAATTGGACTTTGGTGCATGGTGATGTGATAGAGCCGAACTCTAGAATGCATGGTAAGGTGGTAGACTTGTAGTCTATGTATGGTATAACTAGAGCCGAGCTCTAGGGCTTGCGTGGTGATGTGATAGAGCCGAGCTCTAGAACGCAAGGTAAGGAAATTGACCCAAGTGACATGAATTGTATGGTGATGTGATAGAGCCGAGCTCTAGAATACAGTGTCATGTGTTAGGGTTGGACTCTATGAGTTGTCGTGACTTATTGTCACGGGGAATGGGAATGGTGATTTCTAAATGAACATGGGCCCACGGGCCAACTACTTGACTTTTATATAAAGTAAGTATATTTTCAAACGGGGTAACTTAGGGTTACAATCATAATGAACTATCACCCTATTTGAGGGTCTTGTGTTTGAAATACTTGTTGTATATCTATTAGATGCCTGCCACACCAGTACTTTATAACCGTATAGAGTACTGACCCCTTTGGGGGCGTCCCACCACCATTTCAGGTTGAGGCTAGAGCTTGCTTCCTGTGCTCGTTGCTCGAGTGATTTCCCCGGAGAGAAGACTTGGTTTGTGTTTTCCTCTACTCTGTTTTAGAACATTAATAAACATGCTCATGGATATTTTACTATAGAGCTTGCGTGCTCATGAATATCCCTGTGTGGCCCTTTTGTTTTAAACAATGTTTCCGCTGCGTTATGAATTACTTATTATGTTTGTTTATGGATGTTATGTGTGTGAATGATATTCAAGACGCCTTGTATAATATGAATGTGTTGGACTGCGGTTGACCATTCGTATTGTACGGCGGGTTGTTGACGTGTCCGGGGAGGTCCGGGGCGTGACATACCAGCTTCTGAAAACTGATTCTGATTCAGCTTCTGCTTTAAAAAAGAAGCAGAAGCAGAATCAGTTCCAAACACCCCCTAAGTACATGCAGTCGAGACGCCATGTCTATTTTCATGATATGCAGCTCTTCTGGTGGGTAGTCAGACTCATTGAAATACTTCCTCCATTCTTAAATGGTCAATTTTTCACATTT